GCTGGGCCGCCTTTGTCTTCCGAGTGGTGAAGTTCACACCAGGTACTCATTTAAGGCTGAGTCGACCGAGGGGGGGGGGCAGCACGGGTTCAGATAATCGTCACTGGTGTTGATGGCCGTGAGCGGGAATCAAACTCGGGTCGTAGGATTTGGAGCGCAGCGCGCTAACCGCTCCACCACCGCTCCCAGCAGACACAAACATAGGAATTCATTCGCTTGGTGGAGAGAGAGCGAGATGAGCGAGCGACGGATGGAAGGAGAGTGAGCGAGCGAGATTTGATGAGCTCTTTTGGTTGTAAGCGTCGGGCCCATTTCTTTGAGGTCGCTGTGTGCGAGCGCGCTCTCTCATCGGGGGTGCTTTGTGCGCAAATGAAACGCGTTTCACGGCTGCCTCCCCCTGCCGCACCACGTGTGTGTCCCGGTCGCCCCCCTCCTGCCGCACCACGTGTGTGTCCAGGCTGCCCCTCCCCGCACCACGTGTGTGTCCCCGTGCCGCCTACCCCCGCCGCACCACGTGTGTGTCACGGCTCCTACCACTACCGCACCACGTGTGTGTCACGGCTCCTACCACTACCGCACCACGTGTGTGTCACGGCTCCTACCCCCCCCCCCCCCCGCACAACGTGTGTGTCCAGGCTGCCCCCCCCCCCCCGAACCACGTGTGTGTCCCGGCCTCCTACCCCCTCCGCACCACGTGTGTATCACGCCGCCTACCACTACCGCACCACGTGTGTATCACGGCTCATACCACTACCGCACCACGTGTGTGTCCATGCCTCCTACCCCTACCGCACCACGTGTGTCCCCGTGCCGCCTCCCCCCCCCCCCGCACCACGTGTGTGTCACGGCTCCTACCCCTGCCGCACCACGTGTGTATCCAGGCCGCCTACCCCAGCCGCACCACGTGTGTGTCCCGGCCGGCGTGGCCACAGTTCCGAAGGCCCGTGCTGTACCGCCGCCCGAGACAATGCGCGGCACCACGGGACCCCGATCAGCGTATGCGGCGTGTCGCGCCCTGCGGGGAGTCCGTCCCGCGGCAATTGTCCGGATAGCCGCCCCCACCCACCCACCCCCCCAACTTCGTGCTCGCTGTTGCCCCCCCCCCACCCACAACCCCACACCGCCAAAGCACGAAACAGCTTTCGTGTGAACCCAACAAGATGTTCGGCCCGGGGGATCGGCATTGTGCAGGCGCGGTGAAGACGCGGGACCGCTCGCCCGGGGATTGGTGCACGCGACCCGCGCGTCTTTTATTTTTGTCGGCGTCTTTCTTGCTTCCTCGCCCTCGCTTTCATCTTCGCGTTTCCCCGCGGGGTTTCCATGTTATTATTATTTTTCTTGTTATTATTATTCTAAATATTATTATTGTTATTATTGTAATTATTCCACACGTTTTAGAGTGATCCTGCATCGGGCAGCGGTGCCTAAGCACAAATAACAAAATGAAAACAAACTCAACATCAACTCGCAAAAGGAATATATTTATTTAGAGTACCGGATGTAGCAGGCGATTTGTCGGGCAATTATCGCTATTTTTAAGAGCACGTGATTTGGACGATGGCGGCGGTTCCTATTGGGAGAATGATCGTGAATAAATATTTTTGGATGTTACTATCGTTGTGTGTTGAGATGTGTGTGTGTGTCTACATATATGTGTGTGTGTCTACATATGTGTGTGTGTGTGTACATGTGTGTGTGTATATAAGGAGCGGTTGGGCATTGGTTAGCGCGGTGCGCTAAAAACCCGGAGACCCGAGTTAGAATCCCGCTCATGACCAACATCAATGACGTTTATTTGAACTGGTCCAGGGCCTCCCCTAGGTCTACTCAGTCTTAAATGAGTACCTGATGCGGTATGTGTCAACATCGCCACTGGTATTGGCCACGCACCCACCCCTTCGTGTGCCTTGCGGGCCTTCATACGTTCTCGCTGACACTTGGCCCAACAGTCTGTGAAGGCTATACGGGGGATATTTGTCTTTGTATGTACTACGCGTCTTGGTGGATTCGTACATGGCAAATACAGCACTCGTGCACGCCGCAGCTCGCCGCTATTCCGGTGTCACGCATGACGGAGGCGGCACTAAGCATGACGTCGGTGAATTTCGTATTTCCAAGATGTTCATATTTTCAACAAGAAGCGTCTGAAACCAATTATCAATGTAATACGTTGTACGCCGGCTGGAACATGCGTACGCACATCGCTTTACCCGCCCTGGGTACAATATCTGTGCGCACGCAGTACATGCCGACACGTGCAGTCTATAGACACATACAGTCTACACAGACACATGCAGTCTACACAGATACGTGCAGTCTACACAGACACGTGCAGTCATCTTCGCTAACGTTGTTGCCATATCCGTCATATATCAACATTGAAGGAAGCCTCACACTTGCTGATGAGACACCAAGGTGTCGAAACCGGCGCGGAGTTTTGCTCGCCGTGAAATCAACGCCGCTGATGGCATGCACCCCACCACCACCACCACCTCCACCAACCAGCGAAGGCCGCGTGTGTGCGCGACTGCTGCTGCTGCTGATGTGCTGTGTAAAGTTCCACGGTTGCGTCGTTTTATTATGTTTCACGCAGAGAGGCGGATGTGTGAAGGCGACATGCACGGTCCGCTCACATTACTTCGTTACGTACCGAATTAGGTCACTAATAAGAATAACGAACAGTCCGTGGCCAATCTACTTGTAAATTTCGTTTTATATAAAAAATCAAATTAGGTCACTTTTAAAACCGCTGCGTTCTAACGAGTGTTAATTCACGAGTGTTAATTAACGAGTGTTAATTAACGAGTGGTATCTTCTTGGTTCTTTCGGTAAAGTCACGTAAAAGGGAAGTAATAAAATAATAAAATAATTCTGACGACGTTTCGGCCACAACGCAAGCAGCCGTCCTCAGGTGAAGAGCAGGTCTGTCAGAAAGACAGACCTGTGAGGACGGCTGCTTGCGTTGTGGCCGAAACGTCGTGAGAATTATTTTATTATGTTTTATTTTTTTATTATTTTATTACTTCCCTTCTACGTGATTTTACCGAAAGAACCAAAACGATGAATCCCTGCAGTCACGAAAGCTTGAAATCGAAATTTAACGAGTGGTAATTCACGCCAAGCGAGTCGAACCCTTCGACCTCAATCGCCGTACAGCTCCCGGCTTCAACGGCGAAGAGCGCCGCTGCAGAAGGCGTGTCGCAGCGTGTCCCGTATGTGCATGTCTTTGTATGTTGAACTTCTTTCGTACCCTACGTAGTCAACCGTGTTCATCGGAGGTTGCGGGGGCAGCACAACAAACGAAACACTACAACTCTCAAGAAATTCGCTTTCGACGTAAGAGTGCATTGCTCCAGTGGCTTCCCAATATCGGAGAGAAGAGCGTTCCAGACGGCCGCAGAAGCGCATCTGAAAGCGCCACGCGAAGCAGTGGCCGTCCTTGTTCAACGGTTAGCCAAACGCCGTTCTTTTTTGGCGAACCCGTTGACGTCTCACCATTGAACGTCGTTTCGCAAATACGTCGTCACCTTGTTTGACGCCACTGCCTGAGCCGCACACTTACGTCGCTGACCGCATCGTCCATCCTTTCTTGTATGCGTCGCCTCAACCTTCGCCTCGTCCACCTACTCTGTACATTGCTGTTAATTGATTTACGTCGTTTCGATATTCGTCGTCGCAGCATTCAGCAACGCATCGCCGACGTATCGACCCAACAAACAACCAGCGTTCAATTCCCGGCCATGTGATATGACAAACGATCCCGTGTGTCACCGTTCACCAAACGGCAATGTGACCAGCATGGTGAAGCATGGTCAAACAACACAGCGGGAGGCGGAGGAAACCTTCATCCAGCAGTAGATTAACAATGTGCTGTTCATTATTATGAATATTCGGCAGATGTGCCGTGCACACGTTCGTGTAGCTTTTTACGTGGACATGCGCACGATACTAAAAATACCATATAACAATGTAAAATATAGAAATAAAGTGAGTGACCACCTTACATTATTCTATTTAAATGTACGAAAGTTTTCTCCAACACAAATTCACTTATCCTGTCTTCATTACCTGTACTTGAGAATCTGAATATTTATTTACACTGGAGGAATCCGATGAGCAATAAAGCTATGTTTCACAGATGCTCAGCAGGAACGGGTCAGAACGTTACAACAACAACAAACAATACAAAAACAAAGATAGCAGTGCAAGGTACATGAAGCTTCAGGTGGTGATCCACACGCACTGCCAAAATTTAGCATCAAGCACGAATGCAATGATGGACACCACCCTTGCTGTCGCCGCATATAAATATACCAACGTCAAGTGATGCCTTGCAGCAGCTTGGTCCATGCTGTTCTCTTCCCACGTGCGGCGTTTCGATCACCCGACGTAAATAGTGAAGAGATGCACGTGTAATATCAATGTAAACAAACACAAATACCGCGCCCCCCCCTCCACCTTTCATTACCCGTATGTGCAAGTGATCGCAGTGTCTCGGAAAACAATTGGATAGCATGTTGTCTGTGATTTGCGTGGCGTAGATGTCTGGACTTTCAAACGGCGTGGGCGTTGCATCGTTTTATTCACCATTTTTGCCAGACATCCTCAACCCATTTCCGGACGAAACCCACGTTACTTCACCGCGCTGATCTGCGAGGATTGATGGAACGGCAGGGTACCGTGCAGGAACCGGTGCTGAGATCACTTGCCGCTCAGCGATATCAGCCGTTGGCTTGGGCTCAAACTCGGGTTTGGCTTGGGTGCCCATAACGCAGCTCGCCAACAAACTGGGCCACCATAAAACCGTCGGACTATAGTTTTAAGGCAATGCGCCGGGCGGGTGGTGGTGGTGGTGGTGGGGACGACGACGACACACGTGTACACACGTATCGCGAACGTGTCAGTCTGCGCGCATGTACAGAGACACGGTAACGTTGTGTTCATATCAACAGCATGTTTCATTTATTTGCATATAAGATTAAACCAATAGGAACGCCACTTGTCTTCGCTGCGCGCTAATCAACACATATATATATATATACACACACACATCGCAACGATTTTCAACGAAATTAAATAATGTGTTCATCCAGTGCTGGACTTAGACCATCTTATAAATAACGCACGCACACGAAAAAAACAACAGAAAAAATAGAGAAATAAAAACACACGCGTGTGTGTGTGTGTGTGCGTGTGAGAGTTTCACTATCCGAGCTCGCGTGAACTGAACGAGACGGGAGACGTCGCCGTTTAGACGCACAGTCGCGTACAATGGTAACAACGCGGGCAGACGACGCATTGTTGTTACTCGCTCGATAAGTTAGCGCGGCTCTCCTTGAGATTATTGCCTGTTCGCAAAGTGAAAGAAACAAAGGTGACGTTCATCCGTTGGACCGCATCGCACGATGTCGGCAGTCCGGAGCGCGTCGATTGACGTCATTGTCGTTGTTGTTTGTACATTATACAGATTGTGTGTAGAGAGAGAGAGGAGAAGAAAAAAACCATCACTACATGCCTATTATACACGGTCAAAGAGAACACACGTTCGCGTTTACACACACGCACGCACGCGCGCACGCAATGTCGTTTCAAGTCGTTCACAGCCTGCGAAACGTGGAAACCCGGAGGGACACGCGCGCTGTCGCCGTGCGTATCCGCGCGTGCGTGTGAATGTACAAGATGCAGTATAGACATGCCGCAGGAATAGACAGGGGGGAGAGGGGGGACCAAAGGTTTATTTTTGAGCTAAAATGCAAATACTTTTCGCATGTATACCAGAATATGTATATATATGTATTGTGTCAAAGTTGGGTTTTCTCATACGATGCGTATTTCCATTATGCACGCTTGGGAGAGGTGACTGCTACATTTTTATTTGACCTCTCTCCATCTCTCTCGCTCCCTCTTGTTTTCTTTAATTGCGTAAAACGGGAGATCGTTCATTTGGGGGGGGGGGTGGGAAGCAGTGGGGAAGGGAGCAGGTGAGGTTGGGTGGGAGAGAGAGGGTGGGGGGCCTTTACGAGGAATTCATGATGGGTCTGGAATACACACCTTGGTAGTACGCCGTCTCATTGGACATCGAGGACGGCTCAAGCGCCGATTTCACGGACATGGAGCCCAGCGAGAGGCTATTGCCCATGCTGCCGCCGTAGCCATGCGGGTACTGCTGCATGGCCTGCTCATAGGCTTTGAGGTCCATTTTGTGATGGTGGCTCTGCTGCTCGGACGACATGAGGTTGGTGATGGAGAACGGGTGGTTGAAGGAGTAACGCGGGTCCGCCTTCAAGTGAGCCGCCGTCTCGGCTGACGTTACGTGCACGAGATGCGCCGCGTGCGACAGCATCGACTGCGCTTGGGACGCAGGCGACGGGGAACCATCGGCCCCCGGGTGTCCTCCTATCACGTGCTGATGCTGTTGCTGATGCTGCTGTTGTTGCTGCTGCTGCTGGTGTTTCATGTCCGCTATGCCGGATTTCATCTGCTCCATGCTGGGCGGGCTGTCGCTGTCGTGAACGCCGATCGAGTCGTCCACGTGCGCGCCGTCGACGCTTGAGTGTCTCGAGTTCGTGGCGTCCTGCGCCGACTTGGGGCCCATCTTCCTGTCGCACTTGAAGCGCTTCTGCCTGCGCAGGTAGCAGCCGTTCTCGAACATGTTGCCCGAGTCCGGGTGGAGCGCCCAGAAGGAGCCCTTGCCCGGCTTGTCGGGCGAGCGCGGCACCTTGACGAAACAGTCGTTGAAGGAGAGCGAGTGCCGGATAGAGTTCTGCCAGCGCTGCTGGTTCTGCCGGTAGAAGGGGAAGAGGTCCATGATCCACTGGTAGATCTCGTTGAGCGTCATCATCTTGTTGGGCGCCTGCTGGATGGCCATGGTGATGAGCGAGATGTACGAGTACGGCGGCTTGGCGTGCGTGTAGCTGCGCCGGTAGCTCTTGGGATCCCGCGCGCGGTTCAGGTTGCCTTGCGCGTACGACATCTGGCTCATGGTGGCGGGGCTCATGGCGCCGTACGCCGCCGAGTAGCTGTTGATGGAGCCGCCCTGGGCCCCCATGGGGCTCATGCTGGCCCCCATGGCGGGGATGCCCCCGGCCGAGCCCATGGCGCCGCCCGGCCCGGCCATGCTGGACAGGGAGCCGGCCCCCATCGCCGTGTTCACGTAGCCCATGTTTGGCGAGCCGGCGCTCAGGTTCGCCGAGGAGCTGAGCGAGCTCACGCCGCTCATGTAGCCGTTCATGCCGCCCATGCCCATCCCGTTGTTCATGCTGCTCACCGTGGGGTACACCTTGGGACAGGAAAACATAGCGGCAGCGGAGGGCACCGGGATTATTCACGCGATTTGCTTGCGCGCGCGCGTTGTGCCGCGCGTTGTGCCGTGCGTACGGCCAGCTACTTATTCGGGGGCACAGTGAATCGAGAGAGAGAGAGCGCGGCTAACGAAGTGCCCCCCACCCCCCTTTTTCCGCGTGTCAGTGGCTACGAGGCAGCGGTTGACAGGACGAGAGGAGTCAAGGGGTGGCCGTGCGGCGTCGTAACGAGCGGTGATGTCGCGTCGCTCGCTCGCTGCTGCTGCTGCCCGGGCGGGCGGGCGGGCAGGCGGCCTGGAGCGGCGGCGGGTGGAGACCGTGAGAATGAGGGTGCTTGCAGAGTGTCGTCATTAGGGGAGTGTGGGCGGGGGCCCCCCACCAACACCACCTAGCGCCCCCCCCCCCCACATCAATTCACCACCGCCATCCTCCCCGTCCTTACGCTGTGCTTCTCCCCCCCCCCTCCCCCACCATCGTAGTACTTTTATCGTGGGCAAAATGCATCCCAGAGAAACTAAGAGCGTACTGAGCAACGTGGAGTTTGGTGTGCGAGTGTGGAACTGCAGTGGCACAGACGCACCCCGTGGTTCTGTGCAGTTCAACACGTTAAATAAATTAGCTCTCACACACACGCGCGCACAGGTGCATACATACATATACCTACACACGTGTGTGTGTGTACACATATAACCCGGCCTTTGTGTATACACTGAGCAGCGGATAACATTTATTTACAAAGGGCCACGAAGTTTACGTCGGCAAATCGCCAAATATCAAAAGATTTCGTTTGAAGCCAATACCACCGCTGGCTGCACGTGTTTAAATACGCCGCGGCAATGCCCCCCCCCCTTGTTTGGGGATAAGAGAATCAATCTGTTAGGGCGTGAAGGCGAGGGGATGAGCCGTGCGCATCGCCGCTCTCCCGAACGACAGCACGCAGCCTCAGCGAACGAGCGGCGCTACCGAGGAATGAATCGACCTCCCGTAACAACATAAAAAAGACCCACAGCGAGACGCAATCTTTTGCCAAGTGCGTAATCGCACTTTTCCAATTACATCGTCAAATCGCGCTTACCAATTGTCGCCAGCCGAGCGACGGTGCAACGCAGCACGTTTTCACGCGAGCGCGCACGCACGCACGCACGACGCTCACTCATTCACTCGCTCACTCACTCACCTCCGACGTGTCCATGTAGTAGCTGTTCCAGTCTGTCACCTCGTGTCCTTCCATTTTCACTGATCCTAGAAGACTCGGGGCTAGGTGCATGGCCGGGGGCTTAGATAATGGTGTGAAATAATATCCTCGCTTTTTTTGGACGGGGGGGGGGGAGTTCGTTGTCCTTTGCGTTGCTACTCCTGCTGCTGCTGTTGCTTTCTTTCTTCCGTAATAAGGAACGAATAAATAACAGATCACTGCCCAACCATCACCCCCCCCCCCCCTTTAGGCAATCGCCTCCCCCGCTCACGTGGCGAGAGAGAGGCACGCGACTCGCGCCTGCACCTGAGGAGCGCCGTGCGAACTGATCTAGAGCTGCTGCTACTGCTGCTACTGCTGCTACTGCTGCGTGTGTGTGTGCGTCCCGCTCGCTGTCTGCTCGCTGCCTGTTGGCTGCCACCGCTGCTGCTGCTGCCGCTGCTGCTGCCTGTCGCGGCCACCCTCGCTCGTGGAATGCCGCTCGCGGAGGCGCGCGCGCGCGCGTGGTGGTGGTGGTGGGATGGAGTGGCGCGCATGGGCGTGTGGGGCAGCGTTTAAAACGACGCACGCTCCCTTTGCCTGGAAGCGCCCTTACCCCCTCGTCGCGCGCGCGCGCGCGCCTCTCTCTCGCCGATTTGAATAATCAGCTCACACCTATAGGGCGCCGCTGCTGCTGCTGCTGCTGCGTCTAACGTTGCTGCTGCTGTCTTACACGGGGGTCTACCACACTCATTGTGTAGCTGCCCTAAACCAGGCCCGGAGCTCGAACACAATGAGCGCTTTTGCAATATTACGGCAGATCCTAATCTCGTAATTACTACTTATACACATCGACTCGATTGTTAGACTGTCGCTCGCCACTGCCCCAGGCTACTTGGTACATTGTGTGCGTGTGTGTGTTTTTTACACGCGCGCGTGTGTGTGTGTGTGTAATTGAAGGTGCCTTGCTATCAGCACTCGTTTCAACAACCTGGAAGGGTTATACGGGGGATCTTTGTCTTTGTGTAACTAAATTGGTTTTAGTAGCGCTGACGGCCGTCTGTTCGCGAGTGTGCGCAGTTTAATTGAATTTGTGGATAATCTATAGTGAATCTAAAGTTATAGATTGCCCACATAAAAACACCGGGAGCAAGAGAGACGGGGTCTGCTCTTTGTTAGTTGACCATCCGTTAGCAGCTCGAGTAATTCACGACACACTCGCTTTGTTATAATCCGACCTGTGTAATACAAACACCCACGGCGCGGGCATGATCAGCGCGCTTCAGCCATCCACACGTTTCAATCCCTATAGGGTATAGTGAATTATTAATGATACATATAATCGATCCACTGCTGGATGGAAACTTTCACAACGTCCCCCTCCCCCCCCAACGCCGGATTTGTTTGACCATGCTTCACCGTGCTGGTCCGGTTGGTTGCAATGAGGGACGCACGATTGGTGAAGTCTTAACTCGCCACTGATGTTAGCCGGGAATTTAGCTCAGCTCGCCGGGTTCGAAGCACAGTGCGACGAGAAGCGTTGCCCCGATCGCTGTGTATTTACATTGTGTAAGTTGTAGATTTAACGACGCCGACAAAGACAACTCCCGTGTAGCCTTAACAGACTATTGGGGTAAGTGCTGTTAGCGAGTAGCAGTAACTATGAAGGCCGGCACGGCACACGAGGGGGGTGTGTCGCCAGCACCACGCCCGGACCGCCTTTGTCTCCCTAGTCGCGACCATTTATAGAGAGACAGTAATTTGTCCATCGAAGGCCCAGCGATACACACCGTGACATTCGTAGCTGTGGTCTTCCGTTGATGACCACGCGACATTGCGCAACAGAAATTCACATCCCAATTGTAAATCCACTGCTGGGTGAAGGCATCGCCATACTTTCGCTCGACATTATGGGGGGGGGGGGGGGGTGTTCACATAAATAATTAAGTAAATATATAAAGTTGGACCCCGATTTACAACTCCCCCTTATTCGTCGTTTCGCGAATGCGTCGTCACTTGATTGAACACCGCTACCCGATTTGCATCTCCTCAACCCCACGCTTACGTCGCTGACAGCAGCAGCAGCAGCAGCAGCAGCGTCGTCGTCCGTCCTGTCTCGTTATCCGTCGCCTTTCAGCCTTCGCCACCGACTACGACCCTGTACATCGCTTTGATTCGCGTCGTTTCGATATTCGTCGTCGCACATTTCAGGAACGCATCCCCGACGTAATCCGGGGTACGAATGGATCGTTTTTTTTGTCAAATGACGGTTACGTGAAACGTAGGTCGATGAACTTCATGGAACTGGCCTCAATCTAGCGGGACTCGAGACGAAGCGCGTCTTAAGACTCCACGAGCCTTTGCTAGAATACAAACAAATAGCCCGGCACATTCGTCATTATCACTGCCTGGCAAAATAAAAAAAAAGGAAATCATTTTCGACGTGGCTGGGAAATAATAGGTGGTCTGCTGCGTTACACACCGTTACATTGATGGCGTGTAACGAGCAAATCGACAGACGTCGTGAGATGACTCTGCAACGCTGCCGGTGCTGCTGAAACGATAATAAATTGGCCACGTTTGCTCATCACGTGACCACATTTCTTAATTGGCTGTGTCGGGTGGAGGAGGATTTACGACACACACATTTTAATTTACGCGATCTGACCTCCCCCTCACCCCCTCCCTCCTAAAACAAACCCCAACTATGAATCATAATGTTCGTCGCAAAAATACGGATATGTTTTAATTACGGGTGATCAGTATAAACTGATAGTCGACATGCGTTTTCAATCTATGCACACAAATACGTCCACAAAGGAGATGGAGCGCGATTAAAGAAATGGGCTCGTGTGCGGGTGCTCGGGCGTGATGTCATCACGTCGCCAGGATCGCGAGAAATGATGAAGGATTTGGGATGCCTTCATCTAGCAGCAGATTGGCCATGGCTGCTGCTGATGATGGGCTTATTATACAATCGAATTACAATCTTTGTTCCACGGGCAAAAGGCGCAGCCCTGCGATTGATCGCTCACGTCACTGCTGCTGGAAGGTGCCTCCACTTGAAGGAGCTCCAGGGAGCCCTACAAGAGGACATTTGGCCTACCACTCCGCGTTTAGCTCGACGTCTTGGAAAAGGTGGTGAGAGTAACCAACACTTTACCCCACCACACACGACCTGCCGATCAACTCCCCAACTACTATCGTGTCCCCCTGCCCCCCCCTCCGCTCCCTCCCCCCCCTTTAAAATTAACATTTCAGCCAGCAAAGTTCACGCTTTTATAAGCCACGCATCCCTTTGTGCGACGGCGAAATGGGAAAATAGTTCGCATTGAGTTTCGGGCGCCTCTGGTAACAATCCCAGGTCCCTCCGTCTCGCCGTGACGAGCCGCCTTTGAACCCTTCAACACGCCGTGGATTTTTTTGTTGTTTTTTTGTTGTTGCGAGGTTTGCCGTCCGTGGGCTGCCACGGCAGCCTGAGCCAGGCAACCACTGCTACACTGCAAAGGCGCCACCAACGCCGCACCTCCTACGAGCACGGGTGGCTACGCACGGTGCGAAAGAAGTTCAACGGATATAAATTCGTATGCGCGCAGAGTTTTTTTCAGATTTTTTTTTTTGTTGTTGCACTGAAATCTTGCAATGATCATCGTCGTGATCGTCATCAGCAGTAGCAGCCATTAACAATCCACTGCTGGATGAAGGCCTCCCCCAAACCGACCCCATCTCTCACGATCCTGCGATACAACAATCCCTCCAGCCACCTGCACACGTGAACTGATTCCATCACTCCATCTCCTTCGGTGCAAGCCCTCTCTCGCCAATCTAATGAGTCACGCGTCTATACTTTTTGATCAGGCGTATCCTGCATTGGGATATTTGGCCGCATCCAATAGGTTCCAACCCATTGTCGATTAATTCTTACACAGCCGAAGGCGTGGCCACAACCATGTCGGTCGTGAAAGTGTGTTTGACCATACTTCATCGTGCACATCTGTGTGGGTTACTGAAGGGGGGGTGGGGGCCTCAGAAGCAATTCTGATGTACCACTCCCAGCTGATGTTAAGCGTGGTCGGAAATCGAACTCAGGTCGGCTCGCTTCATGGCACATTGCGCTAACCATTGCGTCACCGCTGCCCCCAATTCATCCCTGTACGATGATGGCGCACGCCGCTGAACCAGCACTGTGGAGACAGCGAGGCGTTGGTGGATCACCGAAATGCATGCTGAATCTCCTATCACGCTGGGCGTCTCGGAGCCGTAGCCTGGCTCGCCACGACAAGGCGGTACAGCAAATGTGGACCCCCCCCCCCCCCCCCCACCGCCTGTCCCATCTACATGTAGATAGAGGAGGAGTCGGCATTCTGCGGCTCTTTAAGGACCGCTTCGCGAAGTTCTGAACGTGCATTGGCGGCTCTTGAAATTCTGAGGATTTTTTTTACCGAATTCGTAAAGAAATGGCTCTTCTTGTTTTATTTTGATTTCCGACCGCCGAGATAGAGTGTTTCCCCCTCGCACGTGTGAGTGTTCTCCGGGCGCTCCGGTTCCCTCCCCCCTTAACATATCGGGGACCGCAGAGCTTAGGCAATTGTTGGCACCAGGCTCATTACGTGGCGGTCTTGCAGCTGCCTCCTCTGCACCTCGGGATCGTCCCCTCCTCTCACAGCAAATATCGTGCTGGCGGCGCGTTACGCATTGAAATCATTATTGATATTAATTATGGTGCATGAGAGAGATATGGAGTGTGTGCACACGCACGCACACGCGCGTGCAATTCAAATGTTTGTTGCGGATGTAAGTGTAATATATAGAAAAATAAACATTTAAAAACATTCCAGCACAGAGTTACTTTTAAAGGCAGCGAGCGGTAACGATGAAGGCAAGAGGTAATGATATTACGTTTTAAATTAATTTGTGTTTATTCACCACTGTTCAACCGATCTCTCAATATTTGTTTTCAAATTTACAACGCAAATAGCACGTGAGCTGCGCCCTTGTCTCCAAAATAGTTTGCACGCATCGCTGTTTGTCGTTGATTATTATCTATGCCGAGGGTTTTTATATTCGCAACGGAAAAAAATATTGCACACGTAAAAGCACAGATACACGTGCGCTCGTATACACATATATACAAACACACGTGCGCCTACCATTATACGCATATAAACACGCCCTTACACACACAGTTACACACAAAGACAAATACAGTATCCCGCCTCCCTACAGCCGTAAACTGCAGAGCTGTCGGACCAAATGCTGCGAGCGAGCACTCATGGAGGAAAGCCACCACGGCACACGAAGCGTGCGGCTAGAACCACGCCAGGACGCCTTAGTCTCCCCCGGGCTGATGTTCACACACTCGTTGGAGGCTGAGTCGACCTCGGGGAGACCAAGTACCGGTTCAGGTGATCGTCCCTAATTGTTGGCCACAAGCGGGAATCGAACTTGGGTCGTCAGCTTCGTTGCCAAGTGCGCTAACCACTGCCCCTCCGCTCCCCACAAAGACACCGTACCCATCAGACTAACGAATCGAACGCGCATATTAATACGCAGCTATATACATAGCCGTTGTTATAAAATGACGTGTTACATATAAACAACCCAAA